GCCCTGACCACTGGCTCCAGCCCACCTCACCAGCCCTGACCACAGGCTCCAGCCCACCTCACCAGCCCTGACCACTGCCTCCAGCCCTCTATACAGAAGGCCAGCTTAAGTCCACATCGGTGCCACCTGCTCAGGAGCCCCCAGGACAGTCTGCTGGTGCCCCTGAAACAGGAACTACACGTGGCTTCTGAAAAGCTCTTGAATCTGGCGCTGAGATATAGCACTCTGGGAGTGCACGAGTCAGAGATGACCTGGGGTCACAGTCCCCCCAAAACTTTCCAGGAGCTCCATACATCTCCGTTAGAAAGACTGGGGGCCAGAGCTCCTCTCCGATAGTGCTTCTATCTATACAGCTTTCAAGTCAAGCAAAAGACTGGCCCGGGAGACGTTTAGACTGGCCAGCTGGGAGACGCTCAGACTGGCCCGCAGGACGGGAGACGCTCAGACTGGCTGGCTGGGAGACGCTCAGACTGCCCCGCAGGACGGGAGACGCTCAGACTGCCCCGCAGGACGGGAGACGCTCAGGGAGCTGTATTGTTGTCCTCAAACACGAAGACAGACAGCCCAAACGGAGCTGAAGCAACACCACAAGGTAAGACACAGCGAGTGACTGCAGCTCCTCTGCCTGCGCGTCAGGGTTCGGGGAGGGAGAGGGGAGCTCTGCGCTGGGGCCCGAGGTACTGGTCCCAGCAGGGCGCCTCCCGACAGCACAGCGCAGCCCCAGCCTCAGCACAGCCTCACCTCGGCGCCCAGACACACCTGCGTGCCGCCTGCCAGTGCCGAGCACAGGAGGGCCACATCGGGTCACATCCCCAACAGCTACCGTCAGAACCGTCAGGCAGGCGGCTATAAATAGCCTGACTGTTTGTTGTCAAATGATCGAGCCCCAGAGAGCAAGTGAGGGCATCATCACAATGCCAGGCAGGCCCCGAGGCACCTGGGCAGGGCTGGGGGGCAGCACTCAGAAACGAAAACCAACCAGAACAGGGAAAGAACAGCAGGCGTCCAGCTTCGACCCGCTCCTTCCAGCTCTGGGGCACAACAAGGCGGGGTACACGCTGGACGGGCCGCCAGTCCCCCCCCCCCGCGGGCCCCAGCACTGCAGACACGCTCACACCAGCGCCAGTGACTGCTCGAATGTGACAACTTTCTAAAACGATATTAATTCCGGAAACCAGCGAATTGCCGATCTGGCTCGCGGCTCGGGCGCCCGAGGCCCGAATGGTTCCGACCCAGACCCCTCTGGACACCCACTGCGCTCCAGGACCGGCCCGAGGAGCTCTGCTGCTGGGGGAGTGAGTGCTCTGGGCTTCCCGGCTGCTCTGACACACATCTCGCCCGGGACCGCCCCTGTCTGCAGGAGAGTGGCAGAGGGCTACAGCCGCGCGCAGGCTGGCGCAGCGCGCAGACACACTCGGCAGTGGCAGGATTTTCCCCCACGCAAGCCACAGCGACCCACGCGTGTTCGGCCCTTTCCGTGGTGGAGTCACGGGGCGGCTGTGGCCCAGCAGACGGAGGCGTCAGGCAGCGCAGTTTCTACAAGGCTGGAGAATGACACAGAGGTCACTTTCCTAATATAGCCGCCCCAGCCTGGCAGCGTCCCTCGCCCCCTCGCCCCCCAGACTCCCCGTTTTCACGACCTCCGCCACACGGCGGGCTCGCTGACCCCCCCGCGGCGCACCTGCACACCTGCCCCCGCCCCGACCGAACCCCCGCTTCCTCGAGTCCCGGGACGCGCGCGCGGCGTGTTCGTGGGGGAGAAAAAGTGCACCGTCACAAGCTCCAACAACCCCCCCCTACCCACGCGCCAGCTCGCGGCGCGGACCCGGCTCGGACGCGTCCCTCTCGCGCTCTCACCTCGGCTCGGGGCTGGTGCCTCTCCTCGCGCTCCCGGGCAGTGTCTTCCTGGGTTCGTCCCGCTTTCCCCGAAACGCGCAAACCCCCTGGTTCACCTCCGGCGAATTTGGTCCTCGATGTGCGTCCTGCCTGCACCTTTAACAGACCGCTGTAGCAGCGTGATGTTGTCCAGGACTGGGGGGCTGTCACGCAGAGAGAGAGAGAGAGGCGGGAGGAGGAGGACGAAGGGGGGACACAGCGATCCTTTTTAGCAGCAGCAGCTCGCCGCGCGCTCTCTCTCTCCCTGTGGTCGGAAATAGACCCGAGTCCCAGACTGCGGAGTCCGCGCGCCGCAGCACGCGGCAGGTGCGCGAGGAGGCGCACGCGGCCGTGCGGGAGCCCACGGCGCAGCTCCGAGTCAAGTTTGCGTGTTTACAGCGGAAGCGGGGGACGTGCCTTTCACGGGGGCCAAACGAGGGAGGCGTTTCTCTCGGTCCGACCGCCAGTTTCAGCTGAACCCTGCCTCTGGAGAACCAGCCCCCGTCCTGAGTTCATACGGACGTTCGCCGTATGAGACGTTCGTTGAGTCCGTCTCAAACTCTCACCCTGGCCGGAACCCCTCCCATTAAACTTAATCCCAGCTTTTAACCGCAGTTGACAGTCTTGAACCTGGGACTGAGATGGTCAACGCCTTGCGGCCCTGCTGGCCCTGCTGGCCCTGCCCCTGGTCTGCAAGCGTGCTGACCGCTTGACCACAGCCTCACCGGCATGTCTGTTAGAACTGCGCAGAATTAACAACAGCACGGAGAGTGTTCTCCTCCAGTCTATAATACTGAGCCCAAGCCCTAGGGGAATCCATCTTAAATACTGAAATTATCACTTTTTTTTTAAATATGATCGATTTAGATCTGTCGGTAACGTCCGTATTAAAGTGAAATGCGCCTTCGTGTAGTCACGTGTGAGCTTGTATTTGCAGGTGGGGGCAGTTCAACACAACCGCCCCTCCACCACCTTAAAATGTAAACTACTTTGTACGCAACTACTTTTTTATATATCAGGATTTATATATCCAATATTTTTATTTAATGTTATGTAATACTTTAGCATGGGTGTTTAGTCACATCGCCCGTGGTGAAACCTGCAGGTGTAACGTTATGCATCAGAGCAGTGAGCCCGTCAAGCTTTTCGGGCTTTATCGCATCATTTTTTGCGAATAAGGCTTTCTTAGTCTGCCATCTTGTGGCCACAGCCATACATTGCCTCTAGATTCACGGTTGAACACATTTCAGGTGTCCAATGCACATTTCCCAGTACCTGTAACACTCCACTGTTCACACAACTCCTATTGATCATGCATTCCTGTGCACTTAGGTCCTATAGATACTGCACCCTCCTGCACTCCTGTGCACACAGCTCCTATAGATACTACTCTCCTGC